CCCCCCCCCCCCAAAGATAGCAGCCTCCATGATTCCTCAATAAAGTTAGAGCTAGATGAAGCCAAGCTATCTTGTTAGAGCTGCATCCCTATGAAGGAAGTGGTTATCAAAGAAGCCTAAGGTGGCAGGGCTCTGGTGGCCCACGCCTGGAGTCCTAACTCCTCGGGAGACGGAAAGCCGAGGGTCACAGTCCAAAGCCGTTGGGCAGGACAATCAGTAAGACTCCTCTATCTCCAATTAACCACTGGAAAATCAAAGTGGAGCTGTGGCTCAAAGTGGTAGAGCACTAACCTGAGCAAAAGAGCTCAGGGACAGCGCTCAGGCCCCGAGTTCAAGTTCAACAACTGCAAAAAAAGAAAAAAAGCCTAGGATGATGTCTAAGCCATGAAGCCCATGAAGGAGGAAGGGAACTTGTGATGGGGATTGGACTTGGAGGATATCCGAGGTGCTTACATGAATACTCCTGACAGTTTCATTCTGTGCACTTTTCAATGTTGGATCAGTTCACCACTAAAAACATGCTTAAAGAGCTGATTTCCTCGAGGGAACTGAGTGAGTGTGTGTGTGTGTGTGTGTGTGTGTGAGTGTGTGTGTGTGTGTGTGTGTGTGTGAAGAGATTAACTTTAATCAGAAGCCCTTCTAATTGTATTCATGTGTCTGTGTGTGTGTGCGCACGCGTGCGTGTGTGTGTGTAGAAGAGATTATTAATTTAATCAGAAGCCCTTCTAATTGTATTCATGTGTCTCTGTGTGTGTGTGTGTGTGTGTGTGTGTGTGTGTGTGTGAAGAGATTATTAATTTAATCAGAAGCCCTTCTAATTGCATTAGTGTGTGTGTGTGTGTGTGTGTGTGTGTGTGTGTGAAGAGATTAATCAGAAGCCCCTCTAATTGTATTCATGTGTCCATTTTCCTGTACTCGAGCATATACCAGCTCTTCTGAACACGATGCGTCTAATTCATTTATTAGCCAACAATTACATGAAACATGAATGTATCTCCATTTTATAGATGGGAAATTAAGGCCTAAAGTTATTGAACTTGAACAAGGTTATACAGCTAGTAGATGGTGTCAGGACTTTCACCCCAGAGAACCGGAGTTTTCAAAAAATAATCTCAAAAGGGAAATTTAATTATTAATTGAGAAAAGAAATGCAGATTCATCAAAGAGAGAAAGCTTTCACTTATTCATTTGGAAAAACGCCACATTCTTTCACACACAAATCTTATGTTAGCAGGGACTTTGTTGCTCAGCAGTTGTTTATTGCTTTTCCCTCCGTGCTGGGGTTAAAAGCTTCCTGACAGATGCACCCTTCCCTCAAATAATGTGAACCTTACGTGGGAAGTCAGTTCACCGTAGAGGCGATCAGCCAAGTGGTAGGCTCCGTGGCTAATACAGGGTAGAATCTTACCAAAGATGTTTGGACATAGGTATCTCAGAGTCAGAAAATGTTCACAAGGTCTGGTGATGCACACTTACAACCCCAGCACTCAGAAGTTGAGGCACTTGGATGGTAAGTTCAAAGCCAATCTGAGATACATTGTGAATTTTTTTATAATACTGAAAAGTTAGAAAATAATTTGAGTGTTTAGGTATAAAAGAGATTACCTGAACCAATAATCCCACTCAGTTGACTATTTTGTGTCTCATTTAAAAGTCAAGGTTGCAAATCCTCTGATCATGTGAGAAAGTCCATACAGGATTAAATGGAAGAAAATTAGACATAAAATTTGATATGTGTCCCAAAAATAAAGTCAGCTTGCAAAAGAGTACAGAAGAGAAGGAACAAATGACAGGGAAAATTAACTAAAACCTGACATAATTTTATTGACTTAGTGGAATATTTAGAGTGATTTTACTTTCTACATTTTTGATGCCATTTTTTCTGTAAAGAGTGTGAATTACTTTTTAAGGGAATACTGAGACCAGGCATGGGGCACTAGCCTGCTAGGCTAGTGGAGGTTGAGCCAGCGGATTTCCAGTTCAAGGTCAGTCTGGGCTAAATAGTGAGACCTTGTCTCAAGAAATAAAAAAACTGAGCCGGAAGCTATCTACTCAGGAGGAGGCAGAGATCTGAGGATTGTGGTTCAAAGCCAGCCTGGGCAGGAAAGTCCATGAGAATCTTAAAGTCCATGAGACTTACCTCCAATAAACCACTCAGAAAACTGGAAGTGGTGCTGTGGCTCAAGTGGTAGAGTGCTCACCTTGATCCGAAGAGCGCAGGGACAGCGTCCAGGCCCAGAGTTTAAGCCCCATGGCTGACCCCCCAAAAAAAGGAAAAAACTGGAAGAAGAGACACTTCTCATGCAAATATGATACCATGTTCTAACTTCATCCACTAAAGGGAGAAATTATGTCATATAATTGTGCTTAGAGATGTTTAGAACCACTCAAGAATGGAGCCAGGGTCGGGCACTAGTGACTCACACCTGCATTCCTAGCTACTCAGGAGGTTGCGATCTGAGGATCACAGTTCAAAGCCAGCCCAGGCAGGAAAGTCCATGAGACTCTAATCTCCAACTAATCATAGAAAAAGCTGAAAGTGCTGCTATGGCTCAAAGTGGTAGAATGCTGCCCTTGAGCAAAAGGGGCTCAGGGACAGCACCCAGGCCCAGAGTTCAAGCTTCATGATGAGAGAGAGAGAGAGAGAGAGAGAGAGCGCATGAGTTGGATTGATGTCAGGCTTGTCCCCTGGACCTCTCATAGTGTCCAATGCAGAGCAGACTGTGGCTCTGAACCGTTGCCTGGCCTCTGCCTGTGGGCTACTGGCACTGAAGGGGTTTTCACAGAGGAACAAAGAAAAATGAATGGAGAAGAGGCCAGGCGCTGCAGGCTTACACCTGTAACCTGTAGTCCAAAGCCACTGCGGTGAAGGGGGGGGCGGGGGGACGGCCTGAAATGTGTGGCTTTCAATATGAAGTCAGCTGAACAGACGAATTTGAGAGTCTCTTACCTCCAGTTAACCAGCAAAAAGCTGGAGGTAGAGCTGTGGTTTCAGTGCTAGAGCACCAGCCTTGAACAAAAGAAGCTAAGCAAGCATTTGAGGCCCTGAGTTCAGGCCCCAGTTCGGGCACCAGAAGGAAAGGACAGAAGACCTGCGAGGATCTTTGTTTTCTGTGTGTCTTCCGGTCTGTGCTGACCGTCGGAGGCCCTGGGAAGGAGTCTGCCTCCACGCCCGTTCGGGGCAGGGCACAGTTCAGCTGCCATCGTCAGGACTGCGGTTCCCTTCCCTCACTGGCTGGCATTTGCCGCTCAGAGACCCCTCCCTTCCTTGCATTTCGTGTCATAACATCTGGACTTTGCCTCTTCAAAGCCACCGTAGACACTTTCCCTAGTGTCGTGCGTGTTACTTAGAAGAGTCTCATCCTTTTAACGGACTGCTGGGTTATGAAAGGCAGTTACTTTGTGGACCTACTTACATTCTACATGAGTGAAAATGCGGAGCCAGGGCATTCTTGGGAAGAAGGGATCTTGAGGCCAGGTTGGGGCTCAAATGCTAGAGTCCTGTTCCTGGAGCATGATGAGAGTTCTCCCGTGAACATTGCAGTTCTCGGCCGTGGTGGAAGGGATGCGCACCGCCTCCAGGAGCCGGCCTGCACCCGACTTCCTGAATCCAAAACCCAGCTCCTGTTTAGCTGATACTGAGACCTTGGGTGTGCTCTCTGCTCCTCTCTGCCTTAGTTTTCTTATCTTTAAAATGGCAGGTCCTGGAGCTGGGAAGATGGCTCAGTGGTGGAGCGCTTGCCTTCCATGCATGAGGCCCTGGGTTCGATTCCCCAGCACCACATAAGAAAAAAAGCCAGAAGTGGCGCTATAGCTCAAGTGGTAGAGCGCTAGCCTTGAGCTGAAGAGCTGAGGGACAGCGCCCAGGCCCAGAGTTCAGGCCCCACGACCGGACCCAAAAAATAAATAAATAAATAAAATGGCAGATCCTGGCACCAGTAGTTCTAAAATCCTAGCTTCTTGGGAGGCTGAGACTTGGAGGATCAGCATGGGCAAAAAAGTGTGTGATGCTCCATTTCCAATTATCAAAAGCCAGGCTGAAGATAAGACTCAGGTAGCAGAGCGTCAAGCACACGAGGAAAGCAGAGTAAGAAGCCCTGAATTGAAGGCCTAGAACTAGCACACATACAAAATTAGAAACCTTAAGACAGTGATTAGCATATAATAAAATGCCTTAAGAAAGGCTTTTTAGAAATAGGATTTTAGTTTGTAATTACAACACTTCAGGTGTGTTAAACATGTTAACAGGTTTTCCTGTTATAAGGAACCCACAAGTAATCTAAATTTCCCTTCATTACCTTGTTTTTTTTTTAAATTTTAGACTCATTATAAGTATGTGCCTTTATGGTGAGCTGGCAATAAAACTATTGTTGGAAAACGAGGGATTTGAATAAATCTGCAATGTGCTGTATAATCTGCTTTAAATACATCTGCTTTGTTTTGGGCACTAATTTCATTGGCATGGTTTGCTACTCCAAGCAGAGGCTGTGTCGCTCGAGTGTCTAGTTTACCCCTGGCTCTGCTTGTAAAGACTTGGTGGAATCTGTAGCTGAAGAGCTTTCGGGGCCGGGGGGAGTTCAAACGCAGTGTGTATGAGTCATAACTTTCACTCTTTCTTCACACCAGGGAAAACTGGAGGAGTGCCTAAAGCAGTTAAAGGAGGAAAGAATAATACGACTTAAGGCTGATAAGCGAGTCAGTGAGGTAAATATGTCTTTGCTCATATTCTGAGTTAGTGCTTTGTCTTCTGTTTTAAAACCAATGCCACGCCAAGTCCTGGTGGCTCACACCTGTGTTCCTAGCGACTCAGGAGGCTGAGATCTGAGGATTAAGATTCACAGCCAGCCCGGGCAGGAGAGACTGTGAGCCGGAAGTAGAACTGTGGCTCAAATGGTGGAGCACTAGAGCAAAAGCACTTAGGAATAGCACCCAGGAGCTGAATTCAAGCCCTTCCATGCTCCCCTCCCAAAAAAAGCAATATTAAGCCATATATGCATAAACACCTAAACTTTAAAGGGAGAAAATACAGTTTGTTGCATGTTAATCTTTGTATTATATATGTTGGCATGTGGTTATATTCCAAAAGCTTACTTTAAAAATGTAAAACTTAGCTGGGTACTGGTGGCTCACACCTGTCATCCTAGTTACTCAGAAGACTCAGCTCTGAGGATCATGGTTCAAAGCCAGCCCAGGCAGGAAAGTCTGTGAGACTCTTATCTCCAGTTAATCACCAGACAACGAGAAGTGGCACTTTGACTGAAAGTGGTAGAGTGCTAGCCTTGAGCAGAAGAGCTCAGGGACAGCGCCCAGAGTCTGAGTTCAAGCCCTTTGACTGGCAAAAAAAAAAGTAAAATTTATAAAACTATCTTGTCCAAGGTTTTATATGTCTATGGCTTTTTTTTTTTTTGTAGGTTGTGGGGCTTGAACTCTGGGCTTGGGCGCTGTCCCTCAGCTCTTCAGCTCAAGGCGAGCGCTCTACCCTTCTCTACCCTTTGAGCCACAGCACCGCTTCCAGTTTTCTAGTGGTTTATTGGAAATAAGAGTCTCACAGACTTTCCTGCCCAGGCTGGCTTTGACCCATGATCCTCAGATCTCAGCCTCCTGAGTAGCTAGTATTATAGGCATGAGCCACCGGCGCCTGGCTTATAGCTTCTTTTCTTTTTTCTTTTTTCTTTTTTGGATTTTTTTTTTTTTGAGTCCGGTTGTGGGGCCTGAACTCTGGGCCTGGGCACTGTCCCTCAGCTCTTCAGCTCAAGGCTAGCGCTCTACCACTTGAGCCACAGCGCCACTTCCGGCTTTTTTTGTTTTTGCTTATGTGGTGCTG